AGTTGCCCTTAGTTCCCAACACCCGAAAAAGGGGGTGGGGGGCTTCCCTATGAGGAACAAGGATGGATGGACCCAGGCAAGTCGTAAGCTACCCTGGCAACAAAAAGGGACAGGCTGAGTGCCATACGAATATAATAAGTTAAGAGCACGGTCATGGTACAACCTGACATGACCCAAAAGAGAGGTGACTGAATAAGGACCCTGCTAGGGTTAGGAAAGACTAACTTGGCCTTCGCATTGTAGCCTGGGATATATAGCAAGATGTGCCCAGGAAGAACCACCCTTTAAGCATAACATTTCTCTTATTGTGTTCATGCAAAATGACTAGAGATATTATTAAGAAGTTAATTTAAGATGACTGTTCAAATGGATTAATAGATAAGGAAAGAAGAAAGCAATATGCCCAGATGGATCCTACCCTTGGGTGGATCTCCTAGCAGGAATCTAGAGTGCTGAACCCTAGATGAGGTTCTGTCCTTGAGTGGATCTCCAAGAAGAATTTCCTGTGAATGATCTATTGATTGTTTACGATAATGTTCAACCACACCTATGTGTAATTGCTACCCCTAACCCTTCATGATCTCTCTATAACTAAGGCTGTGAGACTTGAATAAATGGTCACTGATTACCAGCCAGCCTGTGGCCACCGTTCCTCTGTCTGTTGTCTGTTGTCTGGATGGGGGGACTGTGATTGGCTTCGAATGCACCAAGGAAACCCCTGAGTCACTGTGGGACGGTGACACCCTGGAACAGTGACATTGATGTACTGTGGTTTCTTAATCTAGTCATCTGTTCTGGGGCACTCGGGTTGTTTCCACATTCTGACTTCTGTGAAATACTGCAATGATCATGGAAGTGCAGACTTCATTTCTATTGTGTTTATGTCCCCCCGGGGGTATATTCCTAAAAGTGGTATTGCTGGGTCATATGGAAGCTCAATTTCTAGTTTTTTGAGGAATGTACGTTTTTTTTTTTCTTTCTAAAAAAGGCTCAACCATTTGGCATTCCCAGTAACAAAGAATGAGAGACCCTTTCTCCCTGCATCCATGCCAACACTGATTGTTCTCGTTTTTTATGGATGTACCAGTCTGTGTAACTGACTGATCAGGCTGGAGCAACAGCACAGCGGATAGGGCATTTGCCTTGCATGCGGCCGACCCGGGTTCGATTTCTCTCCTCTTGGAGAGCCCGCCAAGCTACCAAGAATATCCCGCCTGCACGGTAGAGCCTGGCAAGCTCCCCGTGGCGTATTCGATATGCCAAGAACAGTAACAAATCTCACAATGGAGATGTTACTGGTGCTTGCTTGAGTGAATCGATAAACAATGGGAGGACAGTGCTATACAGCTACCACCGTTGTTTTGATTTGCATCTCTGTTGATTAGCAGGGTAGAACTTTTTTTTTTCTTGTGCCTTTTGACCACTTGTATTTCTTCTTCGAGGAAATTTCTGTTTATTTCTTTCCCCCATTTTTTGATGGGGTTGGATTTTTTTTTCTTGTAAAGTACTACCAGTGCCTTACAAATCTTGAACATTAACTTCTTATCTGAGGGGTATTGTGTAAATAATTTTCCCCACTCCATGGGTTGTCTCTGTATCTTGGTCACTTTCTTTTGAGGTGCTGAAACTTCTTAGTTTAATGTAGTTTCTTGTTTATCTTTGCTTCAACTTCTGGCTTGGCTCTGATTAAGTAGTGTTAATAGTGCTAGAGACATGGTACGGGGGTTAAGGTGTATGCCTTGCATAAGGCCAGCTCCACTTTGATCCCTGATTGTACAATGATGGGTAGCCCTGGAGACCCCAGTGTTCTACCACGGTGGCCTAGGTAATCTTCAATACTGTAGGACCCAAGCAGCGCTGCATCTTTGGGCTCTTGTACTGAACAGTTGCTTAGTGATTGAGAATTGCTGGGAGGGACCTCTGGACCTCCTGAACACTACTTGGAAGCCACCTTTCCTCCCACACTTCCCAAACAACTAACTTAAAAAAAAAGAAGGTAAACTCTTAGACATTTTAAAAATTAATTTTATGTTCAAATAAATTTTTAGGTAGTTAGATAAAATCTATTTTTTAGAATTTCATGTCTTGGTGCCATGGTTGTGGTTCAGTGGTAGAACTCTTGCATTGATGGTCCTAGGCTAAGTTCCCCACACAGCAAAGAATATATTGTCATGTCTTATAATGTGTCTGCCACAGAATTTAAAATCAGCTTATATAACTTGCATTATAATCCTTTTGAATACCACTGCACTAGAAATTTCAGCTTGACATTATCTTTTTGGAAAGAACATCTGGGTTCTAGTTCTATTCTTCCTTCAATTAGTCTGTTACCTAATAGTTTTAATTTTTTTGGTTCCATTTTCTCATGTTCTTTTATTTTTTACATTTTTCTTTTTGGGTATCATGCAACAGTGGGCAAGAATTACTCCTGAGTCTATGCTCAGGGATCATTTCTGGGGACTATATGGTGCTGGGTATTGAACCCTATCAACCATATGTAAAGCAAGAATTCTACCTGTTGTACTATCTCTCCGACCCAACCAAACTTTAATTTTTTTGGTGGAAGTATAGATAACAAACCTGTTTTATCTATCCATAGAAGATTGACAGTCACAAGAAAGAATTTGTCAATTGTAGAGCCTTCTATAGGTATCTGTAATTTTAAGTTAAATATTTTATTAGATGCTTGTAGTAGGTTGCCAGAATCATTGACTGTTACTTTTGACTATTATTTATTTATTTATTTATTTATTTATTGGACTGTTGGGTAACATTGCTCTGTCCTTCAAGAAGCTTAGGTTTTATCTGGTTACACCCATCAATCTGGTTACACCCACCACAGTGCTCCAGAGGCACTTCCACTTCCATTGTGTTTACATGTAAACATGTAAACAGTCTTTCCTATGCTCTCCTTCCCACCTAGTTAATCAGCTTTCCCCTTAATCAGACTTTGTTAATTTGTAAGATCAGTTTCCCAGAAATCTATGATTTTATATGTATGAGTGAAATATTGCCCTTTTCCTCTCCTTATGCCTTATGAATAGTTTACCTTAAAGTAATATCCTTTTTGTATAGATACAGAAAGAACGTTAACATTATGCTTTGTAACTTAGGATTTGATTGGCCTTGAATATTATTCACTCCCGGGCATCTTTCTCGACTTAAGCCTCAGTTGCCCTTAGTTCCTAACACCCCAAAAGCAGGGTCCCGACGAGGGACTGAATGGACCCAGGGCAAGCAGTGAGCTACCCTGGCAGCGAAATGGGCCAGGCCAAAGTGCCACGATTCTTAACTATAAGTTAAGAGTTTGATCATGGACAAATGCTGTCATGATCCAAGGTAACGACAAGACTAGGATCCTGCTAGGGGTGGGAAAGACTATCTGGCCTGAGCACCGTAGTCTGAGATCGAGATGGCCCTAGGAGAGCAATTCTATAAGTTTAAGATATTTCTTACTGTATCCATACAAAATGATTTATATTATATTCTTATATGCTTGTCAGACAAGGAGAGGAGAGGCACGCCCATGGGATTCTGCTCTAGGGTGGGTCCTCCTGCTGAGGGAGGATCTGTCCTAGGAGCGGTCTTCCCTGAGGCTAAGATTTCTACCCCTGTTGATCTCCACCCCTATTGATTGTGACCACACCTATGTAATTGGTTCCCCCAATTCCTCATGGAGAGAGGATTTAACTGTACTGTAGGAGTGAGACAGGGCAGAAGGAAGAAGAGAGTTCAGAGAGGATCAGAACCCAGACTCCAGAGAAGGAGGATGAAGGGGAATGGAGAAGGAGAATGAAGTAGCTGGGGGAGGAAGAATGGGGGCAGAGACAGAAGGAGAGATGAGGAGAGAATCAGAATAAACTACGACTAATACCTACCAGCCTGGCCCTCGTTCCTTCCTCTGCCTGACCATCGCCATCGACCTCTTCAGGGTGGTAGGAGGGTGAGACTACCGAACGCAGGTGGCGGGAGAGATAGAGCCACCGCCGCTGTGTGGGTGCCGTGCCCCCCACTTTGTGTGAGTTTACACATCTGGCGTCCCTGGGTGGGCTATCTTGTGTGAGCTTACACATTGGACCATACCCAGCAATGCACGGCGAGGAATTACTACTGTTTCTGTGCTCAGGAATTATTTCTAGTGGTGTTCAGGATACCATATGAGGTGCATGGTTTGAACCTGGTGTGTCTTGCTGTGCAGCAAGCGCCCTACCTGCTGTACTCTCTTCAGCTTCTGTATTTTTTATTTTTGTATTTTGTGCTCCTGGCCTAGTGCTTGGTATTTGTTTCTCGTGGTTCCATGTGGTACTGGGTATTGAACTTGGGGGTTCTTGTATATAAAACACTACTCTAACCCTTTGTATGATCTGCCTGTCACACTTTTTGCATATTTTTTGGAAGGATACTTCCAAATGGCTCTCAACAGTCCCATAGCCCTCTACCGGTGATTGTCAGCTGGCCAGGCCAGCAGTGAGGGTCCCTGAAAGTGCTGTGCAGGGGATTATTCTGGCCACCCAGCAGTGCTTGGGGATCTTCATGGTTGCACCTTACATTGCTGGGTGAATTTTGCAATAAGTTTTGTGGTGGCGGGAATTGAACGTGGGTTGGGTGCATGTGCCCAAATTATTGTATGGTTTTCGAACTCCTCATTTTTTACATTCTTATAAATTTGTGCTCATTTTATGTATTTCAATTGTAATGCTAATATTTAGGAAAAATTTTTAATCTTTATTAAAAAAATAGAATTAAAAAATTGCAGAATCTGTGCTTCTTAAGAATTGAGGTGGAGCTGGGGCCACTTCCAGTAATGCTTGACCCAACAGTGCTGGTCTGATAGTTCACTGAAGTGCTTTGCCAACTTGTGGGACTTGGGAACCTCCTAGCCTACACCTTGTTGTGCTAGGGGTCTGCGAAGTGCCAGGAATTGAAAATAGAAACTCATATGTGCTTGAGCCCTATAGCTGGCCTGCGGTGTAATTTTTTTTTCTTTTTTCTTTTTTAAGCCTAGATGATGATCTGGAATCTTTTCGAGAGTTAAAGCAATTGGAAAGAGAAGAATTAATTGAAAACGATCACAGAGTTACTACCTCCAATATAAATAAGTTGTCTTTTAAAGAAACCGAAAAAGGTAAAAGAAAACTCAAAAACTTATTGCATAAACCATTCAGATATTAACTGTGTTCACTAGAGCAGGTTTTTCTCAGCTGGGGATCATCTGGCTCCCTGGTGACTCCCCAGGATATTTCAGAGGGGGTTACACATGAATATTGTTTAACTGGAGTGGAGGAGGAGGGGGAAAAGCATCAAAATTTGGGAGCTGGAAAGATAGTACATTGGACTGGGCTGGTTCAGTCCCCAGTGCCTGCCAGGAGTGATCTCTGAATGCAGAGCCAGAAGTAAACCTTGAGCAATGTCAGAGTGATTCAAAACCAAAAATAAACATCAAAGCATGAAACTAGAGACACCTGGTCCACAGAAATCAAATTTCAGGGGATGAGACTTGAGGCCGTTGGGTGAGTGAGGCACATGAAACAAGGTTGGAAGAAACCAACACTAGACTATGTCAAATAAGTTGTAACTGATAAGGTCAGTGTTCTGCCAGTACTCCTCATGTGTTTATGTATTTGGTTTAAGTTTCAGTAAGTCATGAGAAAATTATTATGCTTATGATTAAACTAAAAAAGAGAAAAATAAGCTTTGTTTTTCAGTAGTAGTTACACATTCTCAATATTTACTAAAAACAGTTTTATAATCAACTACTGAGTAGCACTGTAGCACTGTCCTCCCATTGTTCATCGATTTGCTCGAGCGGGCCCAGTAACGTCTCCATTGTGAGACTTGTTGTTACTGTGTTTGGCATATCGAATACGTCACGGTTAGCTTGCCAGGCTTTGCCGTGCAGGCAAGATACTGTCAGTAGCTTGCCGGGCTCTCCGAGAGGGGCGGAAGAATCAAACCCGGCTCAGCCAGGCCAGCTGTGCGCAAGGCACATGCCCTACCACTGTGCTATCGGCTGGTACTTTTGATAATTTCTTTGGTTCTGACTTATGTCAGTTTTTGTTAGAATGTATGCAAAAGGTTGTGGGAGTTAGTTAACTGATTCTTCAAGTTTTGTAAGAATATACCACAGAGTATATTCCTTAGGCTCTGATTGCATGTTACAGTTTTGACAGGATATTAAGGAAAGAAGGAACCAGAAATGGTATCATTCCTAGGTTGGCTGTAAGACATATTGGAGAGTACTTTTATACTACTGGTGGCTTCTACTGTTTCCCCTAGGAAACAATAAATATATATATATGTATAAATATATCTTTTTTTTTTGTATTTCCTTTCTCACTCTCCTTTATCTAGTTAACCTCAATGTTTGAGGAAGATTGAAAAGCTGTCATGCTCAGACCGTTTCTTGCTCTATGGGAATATTTTCATTGAAAATATACGATGATCTATAAAATTTGTGTTTGGGTTTTGGGGCCACACCCAGCTGTGCTCAGGGTCATTCCTGGTGGTGCTTCGGGGACCATTTGCAATGCTAGGCATTGAACTGAGGTTCTGCTGTTAAGATAGGCAAGTGCCCTGAGTGCCCAAGAACAGATGACTGGTTAAAGAAACTTTGGTACATCTACACAATGGAGTACTATGTAGCTCTTAGAAAAGATGAAGTCATGAAATTTACATACAAGTGGTACCACATGGAAAGTATCATGCTAAGTGAAATGAGTCAGAAAGAGAGGGATAGACATAGAAAGATTGCATTCATCTGGGGGATATAAAGTAACAAAATATGAGATTAATACCCAAGAATAGCTGAGATCAACACCAGGAGGATTACTCCATAGCTTAGAAGCCAGCCGGGTATCCTAGGGGAAAGGGCAGCTCAGATAGAGAAGGGAGCACCAAATAAAGGGTGTTTGGAGGATCCTCCCAGGAGGGGAGATGCATGTTGAAAGTAGACTATGGACTGAACATGTTTGCCACTCAATGCCTCTTTTGCAGACCACAACACCCAAAAGGAGAGAGAGAACAAAAGGGAATGCCCTGCCACAGAGGCAGGGTGGGGGGGGATATTATCCATGGTGGTGGAAAATGGACACTGGTGGAGGGATGGGTATTTGATCATTGTATGACCGAAACCCAAGCACAAAGATTTGTAAATCTATAACTGTACCTCATGGTGCTTCACTAATTAAAAAAAAAAAAAAAGATAGGCAAGTGCCTTCTCTCTGACTCCTGTAAATGTTTTTTGAATGGATTTAAAGTTTACTAAATTAAGGAATATTTAACCAGGAATTAGTGAGATGGGGCTTAGAGGGTTCAAAACGGATTTTGCTTTTCACAGTTCTAAGTGCTGAAAGTTTTATTTCACTTCAGGGGCACTTGATTAACTGAATTGGTGTTTATGGGTGTGGGAGGTGGCTTCCTAGTGTTATAGCAGGCCACCAGGGCAGTACTCCAGTGCTGGGGATTTAATCTGGGACCCTGTGCATTCCAGCATGTGCTCCAGCCTTGGGAGCTATCTTCCTGGCCCTGTTTTATTTTTTAGAGGGGGATTTGGACCACATGGACTTGTGCTTGGAGGCTGTTCCCAGTTCATTGTTGTGCTTGGGGGGATCATGTCATGCCAGGGGCCCAACCAAGGCCTCCCAAGGGCATAGCCTGTGCTCAATCTGTTGAACTATTTCTCTCTCTCTCTCTCTCTCTCTCTCTCTCTCTCTCTCTCTCTCTCTCTTATATACGAGAGTACTGCTGTTTATTCAGCCACTGATTAGCTGATTGAATTGTGCATGAACTCCACCTTTTTTTTTTCATTTTTTATAATTTTATTTATTGAATCACCATGAGAGCAGTTACAAAGCTTTTGGGTCTAAGTCTTGGTCATACAATGAAACACCCGTACCTTCACCAACCTCCAACAACCCCAGTATACCCTCATCCCACACCCTCCCCCTACCTGTGGGGCAGATGATTTCCACATTAGTCTCTCTCTACTTTGATCACATTCAATATTTAGCCACCAGACCCACCATTATTATTTGAGATTTTACCCCAACACTCAGATCTGCTGAAAAGGCAACAGTAGACAAATTGTTTTCTATTGCTGGTTATGAATAACATGATGTCGCGTGGCTGCAGCAGTGGCCGCGTGATTTTGAAATTCTGAAATTTTAACACTTAAATCTGGAGGGATTTCTGCCAAAACCTGCTGGGTTCTGAGATTTGTTCCTGAGTCTCTGGGATCATGGCCCTTCAGCAGCTTGATCAGGAGCCAGAAAGGCCGTTCGTGGGCAATGACTTCAGGTCTTGTTGGGGTGGGGATGACAGGACCGGCTCCACCCCCATTCCGTGAGGCCCAAAATGTCTCTTCACTGCAGGCCCAAACCTGACTGTCCAATGACCTCTGGAGGATGATGGCCACCGAGCTGTCAGGGGGAGGCAGGTGGAGGGACAACATCCCTTTCCCCTTGGGGTGGCCCTGCGACAGTAATCTACTGCATGGTCCAGACACATTTCTGCCAAAAGCCACTGGGGTTCGAGATTTATTTCTGAGTCTCTAGGATCATGGCCGTTAAGCAGCTTGATCAGGAGCCAGAGAGGCTGTTTGTGGGTGATGACTTGGGGTCTCTTTGGGGTGGGGAGGAAAGGACCAGCTCCACCCCCATCCCGTGAGGCCCAAAATGTCTTGTCACTGCGGCCCAAACCTGACTGTCCAATGGCCTCTGAAGGATGGTGGCCACTGAGCCACCAAGGGGGAGCAGGTGGAGGGACAGCACCTTTTCCCCCCTGGGGTGGCCTGGTGACAGTAACCTACTGTGGGTTCTGGACGCATTTCTGCCAAAAGCCACTGGGTTTTGAGATTTTTTTTCTGAGTTCTCTGGGATCATGTTCGTTCAGCAGCTTGATCGGGAGCCAGAGAGGCCATTCGTGGGCGATGACTGGGGGTCTTGTTGGGGTGGGGAGGACAGGACCGGCTCCACCACCATCCCGTGAGGCCCTGTATGTCTTGTCACTGCGGGCCCAAACCTGACTGTCCAGTGGCCTCTGGAGGATGGTAGCCACTGGGCTACGAGGGGGAATAGGCCAAGGCATAAAACCTATTCCCACCTGGCGTGGCCCAGCACCAGTAACCTACTGCAGAGACTGGATGCATTTCTGCCAAAAGCCGCTGGGTATTGAGATTTGTTTCTGAGTCTCTGGGATCATGGCCATTAAGCAGTTCAGTCAGGAACCAAAAAGACCATGCCTCCAATTATATAGCTAAGCCGGAAGTGGGTTTGTGGGTGTGTTTCCCACATACCTAACTTTTGGCCGTTTACTTTCTTGGTAAACTTTGCCCCAAGTTTTTGGGGCCTGGCCAAAGGCACAGCAGCAATTTTGGGGTATCTGGAAGTCTGAAGGCACCATAAGGCTGCTGATGCACTCGCCTCACAGGTACAGATTGACCTGCTGGTGCCACCATATACACTGAACTATCTCTCTACCCTCTCACTCGAAACATTTTATGATGCTGTACTTCAATTATACAATATTATAATTCAGTGTAAAGTAGCTTTCTAAAGATTCTGAGAATATTTAAAACTATAAGTTGTTTGATGATTAAAATTTTGTTTTCCTAGCAGTTGCCCAGCCAATTAGTTTGACCTTAAATTCAAGAAATTGCACTGAATATTTTAGTGATGCATGTGATTCTCCTTTGAAACGTACTGCTTCACCAACATCTAAAGGATCAAATAAGCAACCTTTACTTCCACATCAAATCAATCAGATATATGATGAGTTATTTCAAATACATCAGAAGCTACAGGTAAGAACTAATTACTGAATTGAGAATTCAGAAATATTTATGTTTTAAGTGCCAGGTATTTGAAAATAAGGTTTTTAAATATAAACTATTGGTGTAGATGTTGTTTTAGATCAGACCGTGTTGCTTTATGTTTATTCCTTTTTGTTGTTGTTTATTTTTATTTGGCCAAAAAATCAGTACTCAGGGCTTAACTCCTGGCTCTACACTCAAGTATCTCTCCTGGTAATTCTTGGGGGCCATGTGATCCAGGGATAAGATCCAGGTTGGCCATGTGCAAGTCCTACCTGCTGTACTATCACTCTGGCTCCACATTCCCTCTCTGTCCAATCCATCTGTGCAGGGCTGGGAGTGTGGCTCAGATTCCCTCTCTGTCCAGTCCATGTGTGCAGGGCTGGGAGTGTGGCTAAGTGGCAGTGTATGTGATTCCCATGTATGAGACTCTTCTGGTTGATAATCAGTGACCATTTATTCAAGTCTCACAGCCTTAGTTATAGAGAGATCATGAAGGGTTAGGGGTAGCAATTACGCATAGGTGTGGTTGAACATTATCGTAAACAATCAATAGATCATTCACAGGAAATTCTTCTTGGAGATCCACTCAAGGACAGAACCTCATCTAGGGTTCAGCACTCTAGATTCCTGCTAGGAGATCCACCCAAGGGTAGGATCCATCTGGGCATATTGCTTTCTTCTTTCCTTATCTATTAATCCATTTGAACAGTCATCTTAAATTAACTTCTTAATAATATCTCTAGTCATTTTGCATGAACACAATAAGAGAAATGTTATGCTTAAAGGGTGGTTCTTCCTGGGCACATCTTGCTATATATCCCAGGCTACAATGCGAAGGCCAAGTTAGTCTTTCCTAACCCTAGCAGGGTCCTTATTCAGTCACCTCTCTTTTGGGTCATGTCAGGTTGTACCATGACCGTGCTCTTAACTTATTATATTCGTATGGCACTCAGCCTGTCCCTTTTTGTTGCCAGGGTAGCTTACGACTTGCCTGGGTCCATCCATCCTTGTTCCTCATAGGGAAGCCCCCCACCCCCTTTTTCGGGTGTTGGGAACTAAGGGCAACTGAGGCTTAAGTCAGGTAAATGTGATGATTGCCCAGGAGTAAATATTATTCAGAGTCAATTAACTCCCAAGTTACAAAAGCATAGCATTAACTGTCTTCCCAGGTCTTTACACAAAGGACATTGCTCTAAAGTAAACTATGCGAAAGACATAAAGGAAAGAGAAAATCAACATTTCACTTACATATACAAAATCCAGAGTCCTCAGAAGATTTGACTTTACAAGTTTTAGGGTCGGATTTGGGGATAAACGTGAGGGGAAGAAGAGCACAAAGGAGAGATTAAAGATAAACCCAGAAGATTGGGAGTGCCTTGGGTGTCCCTCAGGAGCACTGTGGTAGAGGTAACTCCTTTAAGCTAAGCTTCCTGTGGGAGGAGAAAGGACAACCCAATGTTAAATCTAAAATGCTTGGAATTGTTACCCAACATTGAAGTATATTTATCCTTTTTATTGCTGAATAATATTCTAGTGTGGATAAACCACATTTTCTTAATCTCTTTATTACTTTATGAACGTTTGGGTTGTTACAAATGGTGATGCTATTTACTTTTGTAGTTTGTGTGGATGTACTTACATATATTCTAGGAGTGAGTTGAATGTATGATCACAACTCACACACAGAGGTATGTGCTCTTCCACTGAACTATATCCTTAACCCTTTATTTTTTAATTTTGAGCGATAGCACAGCGGGTAGGGCGTTCGCCTTACAAGCGGCTAACATGGCTGACCCGAGTTCGATTCCTCCGCCCCTCTCGGAGAGCCCGGCAAGCTACTGAGAGTATTCGATATGCCAGACACAGTAACAACAAAGTCTCCAATGGAGACGTTACTGGGCCTGCTCGAGCAAATCGACGATCAATGGGAGGGCCTTTACCTTTACCTTTACTGCTATTCATTCAGTCACCAATTAGCTGATTGAATTGGGCATGAACTCCACCTTAGTTTTTTAATTAATTATTTTTTATTTTTATATTTATTTATTGAATCACTGCAGGATAAGTTACTAAGCTTTCAGGTTTAAGTCTCAGTCATACAATGATCAAACACCTTTCCCTTCACCAGTACTCATTTTTTACCACCAAGAACCCCAGTATACGCCACCCTCACCCCTCCAAATGCCTGTGAGGCAGATGATTTCTACTTAACTCTTCTCTACATTGATTACATTTATCATTTTGACAAAAGATATGCCATTATTGTTTAGAATTTCCCCCCAAACAATCAAAATTGCGGAAAAGGCATTGTGAAATATTTTGTTTTCTATAGCTGGTTATGAGAATCATATAATGTCACGTAGCCACGATTTTAGATTTCTGCAAAGAGCCAGATAATTACAATAATTACGAGATTGTTTTCTATGTGTCTGGTGTTATGGCCGTGCCGGAGAGTCGCTCGTGGGGGCTAACTCATGACCTCGGTAGGGCGTGAAGGACGTGCTAGTACCATCCCCCTTCCCATGAGACTGCAGTTGCCCCGTCACCGCTGGCTCGTACCTGGCTTTCCTATAAGCTCTGAGGCGGCGGCCACCTTGCTGCCAGGGGGGAAAAAGGCAGAAGGGAGCAACATCCTTTCCCTCCTGGGGAGGCATGGCGCCATAGTTTAACGCATGGTCCATTCACTTTTCTTCTGCAAGCTGCTGGGCTCTGGACTAAGTCCTTTTGCCTCTAGAGCCATGGCCATGCCAGAGAGCCGCTTGTGAGGGGCAACTCATGACCTTGGTAGGGCGTGAAGGACGAGCCGGTACCGTCCCCCTTCCCATGAGACTGCAGTTGCCCCGTCACCACCGGCTCATACCTGGCTTTTCAATAAGCTCTGAGGTGGCGGCCACTTTGCTGCCAGAGGGGGAAAAGGCAGAAGGGAGCAACACTCTTTCCCTCCCGGGGAGGCATGGCGCCGTAGTTTAACGCATGGTCCATTCGCATTTCTGCAGCAGGTTGCCGGGTTCTGGATTAAGTCCTTTTGCCTCTGGAGCCATGGCCGTGCCAGAGAGCCGCTTGCGGGGGACAACTCGTGACCTCGGTAGGGCGTGAAGGATGTGCCGGTACTGCCCTTCTTCCCATGAGACTGCAGTTGCCCCGTCACCTCTGGCTTTCCAATAAGCTCTGAGGTGGTGGCCACTTTGCTGCCAGGGGGGAAAAAGGCGGAAGGGAGCAATACCCTTTCCCTCCCAGGGAGGCATGGCACCATAGTTTAATGCATGGTCCATTCACTTTTCTGCCGCAACTTTCTGGGCTCTGGATTAAGTCCTTTTGCCTCTGGAGCCATGGCCGTGCCAGAGAGCTCCTTACGGGGGGCAACTCGTGACCTTGGTAGGGCGTGAAGGATGAGCTTGTACCGCCCTCCTTCCCATGAGAATGCAGTTGCCCCATCACCGCTGACTCATACCTGGCTTTCCAATAAGCTCTGAGCTGGCGGCCACCTTGTATGCAGTCCAGATGTCACTTAATCACTTAACTTCCCGTTAGTTGTCGATTTGCTCGAGCGGGCGCCAGTAACGTCTCCATTTGTCCCTGTCGCGTGCTAGTGTAGCCCAATGGCATCTGTTCGCTCCGGGAACATGAAGGGCCTCAAACCGATCGTTCATGATCTTGACGAAGAAGTCTGACCATCTGGTAGGTGGGCGGCCACGCGGTCTTTTGACATCCCGTGGAATCCAATCAGTAACAGCTCTAGTCCAACGGTCGTCTTTAAATCTCATTACGTGACCAGCCCTTCTGATTTTCGACACCTTGGCAAATGAGACAGCGTCCCTGATTCTTGATCGTCGACGGATGTCAGAACTCCGGATTCTTTCTCTCATTTGAGTGAAACGTGATATTCCAAGCATAGCTCTTTCTATTCTTCTTTGGGAGACCTGAATAGCGTTCTCATCTTGTTTGCGTAGGGCCCAGGTCTCTGAGGCATATGTTAATGCAGGAAGAACAGTGGAATCAAAGAGATGTGCCCGGAGCCGGAGGTTCTTCGTCCTCTTAGCTATTTCTTCGACGTTCTTGAAGGCATTCCAAGCCGCTCTCTTCCTCCTGCGCAGCTCGGGTGCCAGGTCATTTGTCATGTTGACCTCTCGACCTAGGTACACATAGCTGTTGCATTCGGAGATGGTCGTTCCGTTGAGAGAGAATGGGGCATCAGGAATGAGGCTGTTTCTCATAAACATTGTCTTCGTAAGATTCAGCTGTAGTCCTACCTTTCCACACTCACGGTCAAAGTCGGCCAGCATTTGTGCCGCTTGGCTGATGTTTGGTGTTATTAAAACAATGTCATCAGCAAAGCGGAGGTGGTGTAGTTGCCGGCCATCTATCTTCACTCCCATTCCTTCCCATTCCAGTCGTCGCATGATGTTCTCGAGGGTGGCACTGAAGAGTTTTGGTGAAATGGTATCACCCTGCCGCACCCCTCTCTTGACATCAACGATCACTTCTTTGTAGAATGGTGAGATCCTGGTAGTGAATCCGCAATACAGCTCACGGAGGATCCTGATGTATTGGGCTTGAATGCCCTGATTGGCTAGGGCTTCCATGACCGCTTCCGTCTCAACAGAATCAAAGGCCTTCTTTAAATCAATGAACGTTAGACAGAGAGGCATCTTGAACTCCCGAGAAACCTCAATGAGCTTGGTTATTGATTGTGTGGATATGGTCGATGGTGCTGAATCCTTTGCGGAACCCTGCTTGCTCACATGGTTGTCCTTCATCTAGTGTTCTGCCAATCCTATTTAGGATGACTCGAGTGAACAACTTGCAGATGACAGACAATAGGCAGATCGGGCGATAGTTGCCAATGTCATGGATGTCTCCCTTCTTGAACAGTAGTATGGTCCTGCTGGTTTTCCATTGGGACGGAACCTTGCATTCAGACAGGTAGCGAGTGAAGAGCCGAGCCAGTGTACTGATGAGTACTGACGGCAGGTTCTTCAGGTGTTCAG